GCTCGCGCGCCAGCGGCACGTTGCGCACGATCGGCACGCCCGCCTCGCCGGCGGCTTCGCGCATCGCCCGGGCGACATGGTCCTCGCCCTTGGCGCTGACCGTGGGCACCGGGCAGCGGCCCGGCTCGAAGTCGATGGCGATGGCCACATGCGTCGGGTTCACGATCAGCGCATTCGCGCCGCGGGCAGCAGCCGCCTGGTTGCGCTGGCTCCATTCGGCATGCGCCTGCTTGCGCTGCTGCTTGAGATGCGGGTCGCCTTCGCTCTCCTTCATCTCCTGGCGGATGTCACGCAGGCTCATGCGCATCTTTTTCATGAAGCGGTGACGGGTCCACAGCAGATCGAGGAAGGCCACGCCGGCGAACACGCCGACCGTCCACGCGAGCGTCTTGACCGTGCCCTGCCACACCAGCGCGCCCAGCGGCTGCGCGGGCTGCTCGGTGGACAAGGCCAGTCGCATCGCATCCGGCAGCAGGCTGCGCGCCACGGCCCAGCCGATGCCCACGAGCAGAGCCGTCTTCAAGATGCCCTTGAGCAGCTCGACGAGGTTGTCCAGCGAGAACATGCGCTTCAGGCCGCTGGCCGGGTTCAGGTGCTCGAGCTTGGGCGCGACCTTCTCGAACGCCAGCACCGGCCCCGCCTGCAGGTACTCCACGAGCGTGCCGAGCACCGCCACCGGCACCACCAGCACCGCCACCAGCAGCAGCGCGAGCTCCACGCTCTGCCAGCCCAGCAGCGCGGCGACATGGGCGAAGCCTTCGGCCCGCCAGCCCCCCGCCACGCGCACGAGCAGGCTGTCGCACAGCGCCGCGATGCGGTCGCACGCCATGCGCAGGCACAGCGCGCCCATGACCAGCCACACCAGCAACGTCAACGTGCTCGTGAGGTCCTTGCCCTTGGCGATGTCGCCCTTCTTGCGGGCGTCCTGCAGTCGCTTCTGTGTGGGCTGTTCGGTCTTGTCGCCACTGTCGTCCGCCATGCTCCCTAACACCTATTTCTAGGGGGTGCAAACAGGCTTTGTGAAAACTTGTTTACGACCCGCTGGCCAGACCTACTTCTAGGGGGCCGTTCAAGCGGCATGCCCACGGTCCGGCATGCAGCGGGACCGAACGATGCCCGCTCGCGGATTGCGGCGGTGCACCAGATGTTTCCACGCGTAAACGTGGGGGGCACTGCTCTACATACAAAGGAGCGATGTCTACAGGTCAGTCAGTTACGTCTACTTGCAATGGTCAACCTCTGCGGTGTCCTTGCCCGCATAGTCCGCCCGGCTTCAAACACCACAGGGACGAGAAAAAGTGCACGGAATCCACCGGATCTGCCAAGTCTTGGCGACCGCCGCGCTGGCCTCGGG